GAGAATTTTAAAATAAAGAAAGAAATATTTAATAAGAATAAAAAACAAGGTTGAATTCATAGAACAAAAAGAGAAATTAAAAAATAAATTTTTTAAAAATAATATTATTAATAAAATATTTTAAATAACCTTGTTAATTATTTGTACTCCTTTTCTCTAACAAAAAGAGGTGTAAAAAATTTGTGTGGCAACTCTGGAGAAATAATGACTAATGATTGATATGTAATTATTAGTATTAAAAATATATAATTAGTAGCAATTGGAGAAATAAATAGATTAAAAGTGCTATAGTGTTGATGGTGGTGCATGAATTTTTAACCATATTTATTAGATACAATTAAAAAGATAATTATTTTTTAAAATTTGAAAATAAATTTTTTTATATATTAATAATTAAATACCACATCATGTAATAACAAAAATAAAAATATTATAAAAATACCCCATGTCATAAAAGTGGAAGGGATGTTTGGTAAAATATAATATTAACATTTGCAAATATAATAATCAAATACTAATAAATTAGAAGCACTATGGGAATCCATTAGCTGATTTTGTGGCACTAATACATAAAACTTTATCATCAATCAACATGCGCTCTATCGCATTCCACTTTTCCACCGGATTGAGAAAGTGAAAACGAAACTCAAAAAGACAAAGAACAAAAGGAAAAAAAAAAAAAGGAACCTGTTTATAATCATATGAACCCCAACAAAGAAATAAAAAAGAATTACAAGAACCCAATCCCCACACAAGAGAGTCTTTCACCTCTTTCCCTCTCCATCTCTCTCTCTCTCTCTATATATATATATATATATATGAAATATATATGTATATATATGCATATCTCTTTCTCCTTCACATGCATGGAAGACTTCCTATTGGTTCTTCCTCCAATAAAAGAAATAGTATAGACAAAACAAAAACAGATAATGTAATCATTAAAACAATGGAAAGAAATATTAGAGCTTTTTTTTTTTTTCAGATCAGAACCGAATAAGCAATGAGCAGACACACTTGGCTCCTATAAATAAATAGTATCTTTTTCTTATTATTCTTGCCCTTTCTGTTTCTTTAATTCCTTTCTTACGTCACCCACCTTCTTCTTTTTCTTTCTTTTATCTCCTG